AAGTGAACTTGGTCGCTGAAGGTAACGGGGGGCTTGAATCCCGGAGGCGAGAGAGGAGGTGGCAGCGAAAGCCGGTAATGTAGCTGCCGCCCAGTCCTTTGCATCAGGCGCCGGTATTCCCAAATTTAGTGTGGGCGGGGAAGAGCCGCGACACAGACAGAACGTCATCACGCGCATGCAGAGGAGTGCAACCGAACTGCGCGTCTAGATGCTGTTAAGAGGGCGTTTGGGACCGGGGGTACTAGTTATACCTTCAAATCTCTGCATTTTAGCAGGGGATGTTAAAAACCCACGGGCGGCTCAGCGACAAAATCTCCCAGCAGCTAATTGCAGTGGGCAGCCGAGCAGCAATCCCAGCCCCGCATCTCTCTCTTTCTGCTTCCCCACCCCCTTTCTCTGGAGAGCAATAAAAGCGAAACTGGAAACCGATCAATCCGGAGAGATTTGTAACTTACGCCACATCCTTCCTCGGTCCCTTTCCGCACGCTGGCAAAGAGGGCAGCTCGTGTTCTGCCCCCCCCCCCCTTTCATAATGAGCTCACCGGCTCCGGGGGGAGGGGGGGTAACGTGTGTGTGCCCTCGCCCTTAAACTCGAGCCCGCCTCCCTCCCAGCCCCGCTCTCCGGAGAGGCAATGTGCGCAGACTGCCCAGGCCAAGCCCGCGCGCGGGGGCTGCGCAGCTCGGGGGCGGGCGGCGCTGCTGCGGGGCGAAGGGGCCGTCGGGGATCGTCCGCTCAGAGAGGGGGGAGAGTTCCTGCCGGCCCCCCCTCCTCCTCCCCGCCAGCCTTACCCGCCGCCGAGTGGATCTTGGACTTCCTCCTCTGCAGGGACATCTTCAGCGCCTGGTCGAGGCCGCCGGCGTTCGGCATGCTGCGCGCTCAGGACCAAGGCGGCGGCGACGCCGACGGCCAGCACAGTCCCATAGGCCGGCTAGGGCGGCAGGAGCCGCGCCATCCCCTCGCCGGCTCCCCCCGCCCGCACGCACGGCGTGGCGACTGCGGCTGGCGCCGGGGCCTCCTTTGCGGCAGGAGCGGCTGCGCTCCCCCTTGGCCTCGGCGCCTGCCTGGGGGGGGGTGCTTAGGCACAGCACGGATTTTCCTCGCTGTCTGGGCCAAGTAGAAGCAATCTCGTTAGCAAGCCGGCCCGGCCCGATCCTGTTCCCGTCGGCCTCCACGACCAAAGGCTGGCGTTTGACATTCTGAATGGCTACTGAAAACTTGGCGAGGAAGGGTGGCGACTGGGCAGTAGGGCGGGGGACTATTACAGCACATGTCTTCTTAACAGGCAAGCCAGGGGCTGCTGGCAACCCAGTTTCCCCAAAGACCATGACTTGCCCGTGTGTACCCAATTAGGACTGCGCTAGGCCAGAGGGTGTCTCCCGAAATACACCCGTTCCCTGTTGGTTGGTGAAAAGTACTGAGACTTACTAGTAAATTCAGCCCTCATACTTTATTTCAGCTCAGAATAAGACGCTCGCAGGCTGGTTTATATGTGCACAAACCCCGCTCCCCAAACACACCCACACACAAGTGATTGGCTATTTACAGTGGCCGAGAGTTCCATAGGCTCTTGGCCAGGAGCCTAGCCTGCCAATAGGTGCCGGCTAGGATCCGCTGTCCCATTGTTACTGAGAGCTGAGCTTCGCCTGACCGCGTGGTGAAACGGCCGTGCATACGGTCTGATATGGATACATTACACCCCTCCCCCCTTGGTCCAAAAGACACCCACACACATAGTCCTGCAGGTAGGAAGGGGCTTTACGGGTTCTCGTAGAGTGGCGAGGTGTGGGAACCGGGGCAGAAGGTGACACCAGAGCACTCAGCTGCAAGATGGGCGGTGTTGGCGGTTGGGGCGCTGGTAGCGCTGTTTCTCGGGGCCCGGTCATGCTGTCAGCAGGGGCCTCGACAGAAACCACTTCGCTGGGCCAAGTCGTCCGGTAGCTGGGGCGGAGTGGGAGTCTCCGGGGTGTCTGGGTCCTTGCAGTCCTCGGGGTCGCATGGCAGTACCTGTCACCACAGCTGATCGATGTGGCGATGAAGTATCTGGCCGTCTTTGCTGGAGATGTCGTAGGATCTGAGTCCCCGGACTCTCACCACCCTGGCCCGGGATCCATGGCGGGCCTTGCGCATAGTTCCGGGCGTAGACCAGGTCCTCAGGAAAAAACCCTCTGGCCGCCTCGGGTGACTCCGTGGCCAGTTCCTCTTCCGGTGCTCGATTGGGATGGAGGCGGTCCAGCCGGGTCGTCAGGCGCCGTCCTAACAGGAGCGCTGCTGGGCTGTGTCCCGTCGCAGTGTGGGGCGTTGTTCTCTGGCCAAAGAGGAACGCGGCCAGCTTGTAGTCCCAGTTCTTGCTGTCCAAGCGGCGGAACGCCTCCTTGGTCGTCTGAACCAGGCGTTCGGCTTGGCCGTTGGTTGCTGGGTGGAACAGGGCTGATCGGACGTGGTGAATTCTGTAGTAACGGGTGAAGTCCTGGAATTCGCTAGAGGTGAAGGTCGTGCCGTTGTCAGTGACCAGGGTGTCAGGAATACCCTGGGCACTAAAGATGTGCCACATGGGCTGGATGGTGGCTCTCGAGAAAGTGGACGGTACCAGAACGACCTCAAGCCATTTGCTGTATGCGTCCACGAGTATAAAGAATATTTGACCCTGGAATGGCCCCGCAAATTCCAGATAGAGCCGAGACCAGGGCTTGTGCGAGGACTCCCAGGCTCTAGCGGGAGCCCGGGGAGGCTTGGGCTGGGATTCTTGGCAGGGCTGACATCTCTTGACCCGGTCCTCGATGTCCCGATCCAGCCCAGGCCACCAGACATAACTTCTGGCCAAAGCTTTCATTCGGACCACCCCGGGATGTGTCTCGTGGAGCGCCGTGAGGACTCTTTCTCATAAAGGGGCTGGAATCACCACTCTGCCTCCCCCCCCCCCCCCCCCCACGGGGCCGTAGGCCACCCCCTTCTCAACCAGTCCAAGACGCGGCAAAGGATTGGGTCTTTGGCAGTGCAGCGCGCCACTTCCCACATTTACAGTGGCGGAGAGTTTCATAGGCTCTCGGCCAGGAGCCTAGCCTGCCTATAGGTGCCGGCTAGGATCTGCTTGTCCCATTGTTACTGAGAGCGAAGCTCAGTCGCTTCGCCTGACCACGTGGTGAAATGGCCGCGCACGTGGTCTGATATGGATACATTACAGTTGGGCCAGTGTTGGCTGGAATGAGAGGAGTAGAGTGGACTGGAAGGACCACATTCATTCATCTGTGCCATCTACTAACCACCAAAGGACACCCGATATCCATGATGTGGGTCTCTTGTTCATTTGAATTTTTTAAAAAGCATCCACAGGATGTTCATACTGGGCAGGAGAGGGGTGTTTCCCTGTCAATGGTTTTCCCATGCAAATTGCCCCTCTCGAGAGTGGTGGTGGTGGGCTCCCTGCTGCAGAGGGGACATGCTGGCCCCAGTAAAGGAAAATAGAAGCGCTGATGGGTTTGTGTTAGGAAAACAATATCGGGGCAAGGGTTAAACATCCATTGGGCTTCCCCCTCTAGGGTTGCCAGCTCTGGGTTTGGAAATATCTGGAGATTTGGGGGGTGGAGCCAGGGAAGAGTGTGGTTGAGGGGCAGAAGGGACCTCTGGGATACAGTCCACCCGCCAAAGCAGCCATTTTCTCCAGCGATACTGATCTGGAGATCAGTTGTAATAGGAAGATATCTCCAGGTGCCACCTGGAGGTTGGCAACCCTACCCCCTATCTCAGCTACTTTGGGCCATAAACAGAAGCATGAGGTGCTGATCTTCTGCATCATGTGGTGGCGGAGCCCACACTGTGTTCTTCAAGAAGAGGTCTGTCTCCATCTAGTCCAGCATTTAGTTTCCAATAGTGCCCAGCCAGATGCCTCAGGAGAGCTCCCAAGCAGGCCATGACAGTTATAGGTTTCCCTGTTCCCAGCATATTATCATATGATAATTTGACTTGGCATATCAGGTGGGGGTTTTAGCCTGGAAAGGCCCCTCAATCTGCTACAGCGTGCTGCTACCTCTCATCTCCAAGAGGACTGGTTGGAGTGACTAGCACTCTTTTTTTCAGTGACTTAAGTGCAGGAGTATCACTTTATGCCAAGCCCATTCATTCACTGCAATGCTCTGTGTTATGACGAGCCATGGCTCAGTGGTAGAGAACGTTCCTGGCATGCAGAGAAGGTCCTTGTTTTAATACCCGGCATCTCCAGCTGAAAGGATCAGGCAGTAGGCCTTGCAAGAGACCAGCTTGACACCCTGGAGGGCTGCTGCCAGTCTGAGTGCACAATACTGACCTTGACTGCCCAAGGTTTTGGTTTAGCAGAAGGCAACTTCACGTGTGACTGCTTTTCAAGGAGATTCAAGCACCGATCCAGCTTTCTATCATGGCATAGTGGTTAGCATGCTCAACTAGGAGTTGGGAGGCCCAGATTCAAATTGCCACCCTGCCATGAAAACTCACTGGGGCCCTTGGGTCATTCCCTCTGTCTCAGCCTGACCAACCTCTCAGGGTTGTTGCAATGGTAAAATGAAGGCAGGGAGTCCAGTGTATGCCGCCCTGAGCTCCTTGCAGGATAAAAATGTAGTAAATAAGTTCTAGGGCAGATTAGTGTGATACGTTTCACTTCTCAAGAAGTTCCTGGGACAGCATTTCCTGTCCCATTTGCGGAAGACAGAAGGGCTGTTAGGAGGAGAGAACTCTGGAATCTTATTTATTAATATGAGTGGAACACAGAGAGAGACAGGGCAGCAGCTCTACTACCCCACATCAGATCCACAGAGAGAAGCAGGGAGCCCCTCCTGCCCAAGGCACTTCAGCCAGTTCACAGACGTCTCTCTGCTTCTCTCTGTCCTCACTCAAGCTGCTCTTTTGGGAAGGGCTCTCTTAGTCCAGCCTCTGATGGGAACTTGAACACAGCCTCACCGACCAGGTCTCACTGCAAAAATGTTCACAAAGGGACGTTAACATTCTTGGTGTCAGAAGCTCTGGCTCCCAACAGGAGTATTACTTTATGTCAAGCCCATTCACATTGTTCAAGCAGCAGCATAACAGCATTGTTATGGAGCTGATGTATTGTTATGACATGCTCCAGTATAGACTTAAAAGGGGAAGTAGAATTGGATCAGCTTGTTACACAATCCAATGAAATGTCATTGTTAGTGTTGTATGCTAATAAATGCTTGAGTACATGCTTAGTGTAAAATAATGCGTCATTATGAGAACTGGTATAAAGTATGTACTGAAAAAGACAGTGATAAAGTAGTGCTTTAGCTTATGAAGTCTGATGCTGGTTATGCTTGGTCCTGTTAGGTGTCTGATTCTGTCCTGGAAGTGAAGGAGACCATTATCCCAGTTAGAGCTGTTTAGTGGGATCTGAGAAAAAAGTTGTTTCAGAATTTGTTTTAAAGATGAATGCCCATCTGATAGGGTTGTACCACCCTCTCACTAAACCCATGACGGACTGATGGCCAAACTGTGCCCATGAAAAGCAGTGTTGATTTAATACTTTCATGGTGTTCACCCAGCTTTCCCCAGCACTTGTAAGTGTCAGGGGTGGCCTCTTTAATAGGGTCCGTTTCCTTGGAATTGAAGAGCACTGGAGATGCCAGAGAAACAAGCAGATTCCTTAGAAGGGCACCAACATTGCTGATCCTGTGTCAGATTCCCCAAAAGTAAAGGCAGCTGCCCAGCAGCATCCCAGTTTTAGCTACCCCCAGTTCAAATCCCCAGTTCTCTATTTCTGCCTAAACTCAAACTAATATTTGTGTCTCTGCTCATCCCACACTAGCTGAGACACAGAGAGGGATTAAAATAATTAAAGTAATTAAAATGTGGAATTTGCTGCCAGAGGATGTAGGAAT